CTGTCATGGGGTGACGGATGTAAACTTGATCACAGCCTTGGGATTTTGTAGCATGACAAGTTCGATTGAATCGCTTGAGCGCCTGGAGCGTGCCCATGAGCTAGTGACGTCCCTCAGTGTGGAAGTATTCCCTGGAGCATTGCAAACGGAGCAGAAGATCGGAGGCTGGAGAGAAGCTCTGGAGAACGAGATGAATCTGAAAGATAGTGAGGCCTATCATAAACCGACTGGTTCAAAATATCTGGTGGGTTCAAGCTCCGCACCATATTGCAGTAGTAGATATCCTACACACATGGTGGTGATGGTTGCAAGGACACAGCAGGTGTTGATTGACCAACTTTTCTCTGTGCCAAAGTGCGTAAGGTTGGCCAGAATGTCGGAGAGGTCACATGATTTATTGGCGAAGATCTTTCGGGCAGTCCCGAAGAGATCTGAAGGCGAGTTGCAAGACGTAGTGGGTGAAGAGTTTCTGAGATTAAACGAAGGCAATGTGAGTGAGTTCCAGAAACAGAAAGCGAGTGGAGCCTTACCCACTGAATTCCCCACCATAGAAGAGAAAGACGACTTACATAGAATTCTGATGGAGGTGGAACCGTTGCTGGGAGCCTCAGGATATCGGACCCGAAGGAACATAGTGAGAACCCATGGGGAGTATCCTTGCCACTGCTTGGCGCAGACGTTGTGGTACCCCAAACGCGGGAATCTGATGCTAGTAGGGGACGTGGAGGAGTTATACTCTACGGGGTTGCCCGATCAGAATCAACAGGTGTCAATCGTGGTGGTTAGTGCCATGCTGGCAGTGAGATGGCTGGAGGCTAACGCGGACACAAGTGAACAGGAGACGGCCGTGCCGACTCCTGAACAGCTGAGCAACGTGAAGATGAGTCATGAATTGGATCTTTTCAGAACCACCTGCAAGGTTCTGAGATTACCTAAAGCCATTGAAAGAATATGGTCAAGGCAAAGATTGATGCCTTGGTTCCGTGCAGTGATGACATCATGGATGTATGAACGCGCGAAGCGTCACATGTCGAGGAACACGGAAGCCTATCAATCTTTCCAGCTAGATATAGGACCAGGAGCCTATAAGAGAGCATTCCTGACGCACAGGAACGCGGTCACCACGGCGGTGAAGCGGGTAGCTCGGGCGCCTTGTGTAACTGAAGGTGAGAAGAAAGAGGTCTTAAGAGCTGACCTAGAACGAAATGTGAGCCTATGTCTTCACAACAGCTTTTGCAGGAACCGGGAGCAAAAGGTTAATGTTGACTTGCTACCTTGTTGCAAACCGAGGCTGTTGGAACAGGAGAGTTGGGGCACGGCCCGCAACTCCATGGACATGCTGGAGAAAGTATTGGAAGACAGCGAAGGTGAAGATCAAGATGGAGAAGTGATGGAATGAAGATGAACAAAGAAGAGAAGAGAAGGAGAGAAAACTTGATTGTCTTTGTGTGCTAAAACTTGAACCAATCAACCAAGTTTTGATTATTGAACTTGTTAAACTTTTTGTTTTGGTTTAGATTGTTCAAACCAAACTTTGAAAATTGTTACAATTGTTAAATTGTTGAAAAAGAAATTTTAGTTATGACTATTTATGTATGTATATATAGAACATAGGTGAGTATATTTACCTATTTAAAGACGATTGAAGTTTTTAACCTGTGTAAGACACAATTTCACTGTGTGGCGACATGGTAAGTTTGAGTAAACTCGCTCGAGAAGGGTGGGTAACTCAATAATTTTCCTAGCTACAGAGTTTCTTAGTTTTAATATTGAAAGGACCGCATAAATAATTGATTATACTTGGTGAGTGACGTTAAGTTAATTTTAACGGGTGCGTGGCCGTGCCACGTCCCACTTTTTAATCACAAAGAGCGAAAAGAAATTTTATGGCAAGACGACGTAAGTAGTCAGAAGAGAAATTTTATCTAGGACACTCCTCATGGTGCTAATTTTGTGAAAATGTTGAAAGGTAGTGAGATGTAGTACGATGCCATTTGTGAACACGTAGTGAGTTGAAGTGGGGTAGATAAATTTCATTTTCTTATGCGATTTGTAAGATTGATTACAGAAAACTGGATAACTACTTGACGATAACCCGGTGTTATGCGATCAATAGGGACATTGATGGGGACTGTCCGGGGAGTATGTGCCATTCTGCCAGATGGCACAGCGCAACCTTCCGACGAAGCACGAATCAGAGAGAAAAGGCCTTAACAGCAAAAAAGTGCTTGAAAGGAGGGTCGATTTCGATTTTCAAGTTGGTATTTCTCAGAAATACGAAAAACGGCCATTTTGAGCCAAAAAGTGACGAAAATCAGAGCAACGACAAATATTGTGAAAAACAGTCGTACAAGAGACGGAAAATACGAAGCCTCTTATCGTGGCAACAACGCACGATAAGACACTTGTCAGCGGATACTAGTGGAGAAGGAAGCCTCAGTGGGGAAGGAGTATTCCACGGAACCCTCCCGGGACGCAAATTAAGAGAGATAAGAGCGTTATCGCTGGAATATCACGGGAGCGGAGGCTTGGTCCCCCAGAGACTGTTTATGTGAAGGGACTGTATAAAACTAACTATATAGCTACCTGGATGTCGTGAAACTTTAATTTAACACCGGTGTAACTTGATATTTTAGAATATGAGTAGCTAGAAAGAAGAAAGGGTCAATCCATCTCCAATGGATTTAATATAGAACTGTCACACAAAAACATATTAAAATAGGTTGTTCGAGCCGTGTTTTTAATGACAATCACGTAGTCTGAGGATCCGAGACTCAGCTATGTGGTTGTGTTCGCATGTAAACGAAAGCTGATCAAAAGTCGTTTGACTGATGGCCTAAAAATGGTAACTTTTTACTTAGCACTAGACAGACCAGAAAATCAACTGGCAAGGTCGAGACGGTGAAAAACGAGTAGAATTAAGGTAACTGACGCCTGCCAGTCGTTAATAGGTACTTTTTCTACGCTCCGTCGCTGTGTAGTATTTGGGCGAATGTTACAAAGTCACTGGTTTAAATTGCTAGATTGATCGAAACGATCGGTCTTATAAAACAGTATGGGTATACTATTTAATTATTAAAAAGGTTTGATCCAAATGATCTGGTATCAAAGTCACTGTCTTTTTGTTTTATGGTTTTTGTTCCTTTTTCTTTACTTTTTTCTTGTTTTTGTTTCGCTTTTTGTCTTTTTGCTCGTGTTTTTGTCCCCCTAGTTACCCACCCCCCCCCCCTTACTCGGTTAGCTAGGCCTCGTTCGAGAGCGTACCAGGAAGTTTTCTCAAGTTTTCTTAAAAAGCTATCACGGAACAACCGGAAGGCTTACACGTTCCCGCTGAACCGTACCGCCGGTACTCTAGAATGGGCATGCAGCCCGGAGCTGTGTCAAGTGGGTTCGACTCCGTAGTCATGATGTCGTATAAACACCCAGGAGCGCCATAAAAACACTATGTAACAGTCGCCTACTTCAGTCACATATGAGGCTTAATAAAATAGGCCCTATAACCATTGACTCAAGATCTCTTGTGTTTTTCTACCTCAAAAACGGTCGGAGCCAATTCGGTTCGCTTGCGACATGAGACTAGAACCCGTTACAGCTTAAAGGCTACTACCAAAATATCCCTCCACTCTAGAAAATAAGAACGTCCCCATACTTAGGTCTCGAGATACACGAACGCCGTTAAAAAAAGGGTCGGAACAATCCGTTAAGTTACTTTTTATTGGACAGTGGAACTTTGATCCATTTCAGATGGATCAACCTAAAACTCGACTTATCTCAACATCAAAATCATAAAACACACTCAAGAAAACTAAATTTAGAACTCACATGTCGACGCACTCGAGTATAAGGAGTAATTAAATTGATGAGCAACTCGAGAATTAAATAAGATAACTTGATAAGTTCAATACTAATCAGTTTTAATAAAGAAAATAAGTTTAGACTCTAGAATTGAAGTTTTCGTCTGAACCATTGGGACACTCCAGCTGTCCACCTTTCCGTTGAAGGTTCACTCTGGTTCAGTTTGAATAATTGCACTCTTCTCTTGTGATTATCTCGCCTCCTATTTCAGGATAAGACGGCTTTACTCGTGTCTTATTTTGTATCTGGAAATTGCGAATAGCAATCTCGTGCTGTTTTCTTAAGTTTTTTCCCGCAATTGTAATTTCGGTCGTTCTGATTTTTCACTTTGTGTTTTCAGTTGTTGCGAGAAAACTGAGCATGACAGGCTCCATTCGAAATTTTAAAAAATAAAACTTCACTCCAAAATCACGTATTTTCGTGTCCCTCAAGGTCAAACTTCCAGATATGACCGACTGCCACAATCGCCGTGCCACGTCCCAGACCTTTTTTAACCAGCAAGAGCGAGAAGAAGTTTTACGATGGCAAGACGTAAGTAGTCAGAAAAGCTATGTGGTTAGTTTCGCATGTAAACGAAAGCTGATCAAAAGTCGTTCGACTGATGGCCTTTAAATGCTATCTTCTTACTTAGTACTAAATAGACCAAGAAAACAACTGGCTAGGTCTAGACGGTTGAAAACGACTAGAATTAAGGTAACTGACGTCAGCCAGTCGTCAATAGGTACTTTTTTCTACGCTCCTTTGCTTTAATGTATGGGCGAATGTTACATTGTTTTTATTTGCTGAAATGATTTTGGATTTCGAAATGGCGTTTTTTATGAAATAGAAACCCCTGATAGATGAGCCCAGTGCATCTTCACGGTTGCAATAAATATAGTTGTTTTCGGAAGCTCTTTTTAACGATCTTTTAAGCACCGTAGGTGTGAGTCGTGCTCTAGTTTTTGTTACAATGGGACGAGTTTTCTTAATTCTACACGAGCTTTTGAACGGTTTAGTTCTCGAACTCTTTCCAGAAGTTTGTTATAGGCACAGTTTCAAGCCAGTCCCTTCTGACAAGTACGGCCTTTTTTCAAACTGCCTGATGGCTTATTTTAAAAAAATCTGATTGATGTTTCGAATTTGTGGATGCCACTTAGTTTCGTTTCAGGTATATAAATGAGCTGCATGCTTAGCAAATTTGCGGTGTATACCTCCGTTCTTTTCTTCATGCTGCTACTTGCATTGAAGTTAGATGGATTAATAACACTGACATTTTGGTCAGTTTTTTCGCCCCTGTTTATCTGGAAAGTACTTGTATTATTTGGGGCAGTTGTAGGAACTGTCGTTTGGTGCATGAGTCCTCAACTACGGTAAGAATTTTTTGTCGAAGTGAAAGATATTTGTTCATTTTCCAAATGGACTTTTTGACTCTTTTCCAGTTTCCCCCTGTTGATTTTTATGAAATGCTTTTTTAAATGACTTCATATTATAAACTGCGCAGATTTAATTTTGCACAGCTTCAATTTTTTCAAGGGGGTAGAAAGTGAAAAAGAGCCGACTTTTTGTCGTTGTTTTTAGCGGAGGCGACAGTAGACTGGAATTTCAATCTATGTGGCTCAGTTTGGTGCTCTGCTTACAACTCACGTTGTTTGAGATTCTCTGTTGTGTGAAGCTGGATACAATTGACTCACACAGTGAAGACTCATTCCACCTTAGCTGGTTCACTGTTTTTGCACCTCTCATTTTCTCAACTCCATACTCCTGTTTTTACTTCTGGTGGCTCTACAAGCGCGATAGATCTTTCATAGTGTGTAATGTTCCCTCTTCTCAAAACTAATTCTAAAAATAGCAAACTAGCCTCGTTGAAGTAAACGAAGTGCGTTTTAAATGATCAGATACATTGTTAAAAACGCATGTTAATTTTCCCATAATTTATTCATTTCATTTACCCACTATTTGTAGTATCATACAATTCATCTACTAAATCATCTTAAATTCAATCTTTATATGATACAGTCACTTTCCAGCTATCGCGAAAAATTTATTTTGGTCCTTACCATAACCTAAGGAAACCAGCACACTGGCTGGGTCTACTACAGAAAGTCGAACTCCATCAGCTATGGCGAGGCTTAAACGAGCTCAAAGAAATTGGCTGCGAGTTCTGAACCGGAAAGTTTCTAAAGTCAGCCAGCTTTGTGCTTGCCTCAATCGCAGTAAAGACGATCGAAATATAAAATGATGATGATGATGATTTAAACGATGAAACAACCGAGCTTGAGCATTGCTTGGCTCAATCCTCATTTGACGACCACGAGCTGCTTTACGCTATTACCGATGATGCTAAATACGATCAAGTATTTGATCAGTGTCAGGAAACACAGAAGGCTACTCTACGAGCCGCAAAAATAATGATAGCCACTTCAAGTCAGCCTGTCAAATCTTATGCATCTACGCAGATCGGACCTTCAAGGGTTGCACCAAGATTGCCGCAGTTCAATCTGCCTAGCTTTCGTGGCAATTTCACTGCCTTGCTAAGCTTTATTGATCAATTTGGACCAACTATCAATGACAATGAGAAGCTCTCGCCGGTTCAAAAATTGTTATCTCAAGTGTTGTTTGACGAGCCATGCTTCTAAACTAAACATGAACTTTGAGACGGCAGAAAGCAACTACGAGGTAGCGCTTCACATGCTAGAGCAGAGGTTCAAAAATGATTGAGTTATCCATCTGAAGCTCTCATCATAGATTTTTGGATTTTGTGCAGTTCGCACAGAAAATGTATCTCAGCTTCGTCAGCTACACTCAGTCTTCAATGATACTTCGCAATCGACCAATGCGCTCAGTAGATCAGAAGAAAACAATTTAGGGCATTTTATTTCTGAATTGCAGAAGGCACTGGAAACTGCAAACGCGGGGATTGATACTCCTGACTTTGATCGACTCCTGGTATTCTTGGACATTAAAATCAGGTTTACTAAAAAAATCCAAGTGATAAATTCAAAAAGAAACCTCTCAATCAGGGCCAGAAAGTGCTTCGATTATGCCAGAACATTTTTCTGGACGAAAAAGATCGAGAGTTCCCACAAAGTACTCGGAAACGCGCTAAAAAGAGAAGAAAAACAAATAGAATTCCATCCAAATTGATTGCGAGTAGCTCATTAGCCTTGCACCTATGATCACTCGCCGGATGAGAGCAAACAACTTGACTTGAATTTTTAGATGCCTGTGGTCTAGTGACTCTTGTAGATAAAACCAAAGATTCTATTGCAAAAATTATGGAATGAAGATTTGGAATGGTTTGACGATATTAGGGCACATATAGCGAATCAATTCCAGCGTTGGATGGATAGCGTAGGTGTTTTTATCTCACCTGGCTGTACCTCTTGAGATGTCTCTTGAACTGAACCAAAACTTTGCAATTGGTGGTAGATGTCAGCGCTTGAGTGATTCAACAAAAGCTTTTGCTTGGATCAGATCAACTCCGAACAGGTATTCTACTTCTGTGGCCAACCAAATTGCCAATTTTCAACAGATGCTACCAGCCGACAATTGGTAATAGGTTTTGACTCAGCAAAACCCAGACGTTCATACAAATTGACCAGTAGCAGCAGAAGAACTGAAGAACCTGCAACTTTGGTGGTCAGAACTCTCTTGGTTGCAGAGAAAACAAGTTTTAGGTGTTTTATCTCACCTGGCTGTACCTCTTGAGATGTCTTTTGAACTGAACCAAAACTTTGCAATTGGTGGTAGATGTCAGCGCTTGTGTGATTCAACAATAGCTTTTGCTTGGATCAGATCAACTCCGAACAGGTATTCTACTTCTGTGGCCAACCAAATTTCCAATTTTCAACAGATGCTACCAGCCGACAATTGGTAATAGGTTTTGACCCATCAAAACCCAGACGTTCATACAAATTGACCAGTAGCAGCAGAAGAACTGAAGAACCTGCAACTTTGGTGGTCAGAACTCTCTTGGTTGCAGAGAAAACAAGTTTGTAATCCTGTGCAAACTAGAATTCTCGTAGCAGTTGAAGAGAAGAACGAACTCAAACGATCATTCGACGGCACCATCCTAGTCACACAGGAAGCTCATGAGGAAAAACTATGCTAGCAGCAAAAGTAACCAGGACTAAACATCGGATAGACAAAAAAGGACACGGAAAACTGTTCGAGTTCGAGCGATCGCTACAGAAGAACACCGACGATCGCAGTCAGCTTCGAAATTTAGGACTGAACCTTCTTGTACGAGGCGTTCAAGAGCATCACTTAGACAAGAATTGAAAGCAATCAAAAACGAACAATACAATAGCCAGACATCAAGCCGCCTTCAACTATATCCATTCTTAAGTGATGACGGATTGCCAAAAGTTGGTGGACGACTCGCAAAAGCTAATTGTCTGAACGAAAAAGCAAAAGAGTGCTTTGTCAGCTAGAAGCTATACTGACTCACGACCGATCACAGCGATTTCAAATGATGCTGGAGAAACTGTGCGGCTTACTCCATCAATGCTGCTAAATGGTTTCAAGTCAAGTTTGCTGCCCATTCTAGCTGATCCTACCATAGATGAGGTTAATGAAAATGAAAACTGCCCCCAGGAAACGATTGAACTACTTGCACAAATTGATTGCAGAATTGTTGAAATAATGGACATTTGAGTATCGAGCCGCTATGCAGCAATGCAATTAGAACCTTGTAGAAAAGCAGAATTTGAAAAAAAAAGAAATCTAGTATACATAGCCGATGATGATAACCCCCTTTTATCCTGGTCTCTTGGAATCGTGGAAATTGTATACGCTGGAAACGATAGTCTAGTGTGATTAGTGAAAATTAAAACTCGAAATGGGAAGCTTAGTACACGGTGGATTTTAAGATGGCGGAAATTGGGGATGGAAGATAAAACAATGAACTTGAAAAACATACAGATCAAAAGCAAACTTGAAAAACAATGGTCAGATAACTATATCTTTTTGATTTTGCTTCTTTCTGACCGCAGTATCAGTGGCTGCATCCATCAAATCCAGAAGCGTGAGGATCACACGACATTTCCAGTTCGTCTTCCGAACCGTCACCTTTCCCTAATCAACCCTAACAATTTCACCACACCCGTCTTTTTTTGCATCCAAATTTCATTTCCATCTGAAATGTGAAAAAATTAAGCACAGATTAACGGGGCGGCAAGGCACGTTTCAAATAATAAGATTTTTTTTCGCGTGTAGGTTCATTTAAAAACGCATCTAACGTTTCCTATAAATTATTCATTTCATTTACGCGCAATTTGTAATGACTAAATCATCATTAGTTTCAATTGAGTATAATACAGTCGCTGTCCAGCTATTGCGAACTATTCAAACCAGCTTTTACTGTTTTAGCTGGAGCTTCTTCACGCCAGCAACCTCCTGTTCTTTCTATTTGTCACGATTAAGTTGGATGGTATGGTCAACTGGTCATGGGCAGTAAGTAACAAGGATAGCCTGTTGTTGTGCTGGTAGCACAGTTTGTTCCGGCCATATTCATAAAAAGTGAAAAGAAAGTGATAGATGGAAAAAATTTAAAAAAAACTTTTGAATTTTTTGCACAATAATTTTTAGACTCTATTATGGGTCGCCATGTTTTTTTTCTTTTTTAGGAAAAGTCTTAAAATTTGTTCATGCTCAAGTTTACTTTTTGGCTGTTAGGTTTTTTTATGATCAGTTCATTTGTTAAAAGAAAGCTAATGCACGAAAAGCGTTATTGACTTCTAATTTCGAAGCCGGAATTAAGGTATCATATTTCCCAGCAAAATCAAAGTTTTACCTATAGATCTACTTCTCTCAAATTGGGTTAATTTTATCAAAAAAGTGTCGGTCATAAATTGTTCCAGAAATTCAAAGAGCTTGAAGGGCATCTATTTTTTTTTACAAATTTCTGCTGGCTATTTTTTTGCCAAGAAATCGCTAAATGTAACATCCAAAACTAGTTTTTTTTTCTCTAGTGAAATTAATTTTTACAGTGAAATCAAAAAAAGTAAATTTCCTGATAACGATCGTTACTTGGTCGAAATTAGACTGTCTCAAAATTTTCAAACCAGTTGTTCTCGATACTAGGACAGGTTTTTGAAAATTTCCTAATGTAGTTCAAATTACGACTAAAATGGCTTTAATTGATATATCACTCGACCCATTCCGATGATTATTTGTGGCACCTGATTTTGCGTGGAAAAACTAAAACACACCCGAATACACAGTTTCTCCCCATTTTCAATGGTCGGAAAAATATGTTGTCTGATTCATTAAGAAACGTGCGCGTGTTTTTTTTTCGTAATTACATGATACTTAGTTGAAGGTGACGAGGCCTATCTCTTAGTGTTTTTGTTAGAATGCAATGATGCTGCATAAGTATTTATGTTAAAATTTGGCGGGAATTTCAAAGGAGTTGTTACAAAAAAATTGGGTTCGCTCGACAGTTTTCACATGATCACAAAAATATCCACGGACAAGAAGAATTTTCTGTGAAGTTATCTCTAATATTTCTCCACATCAACTGAAACAGTGATTTTAAAAAAACGATTTCTGTTTAGCTGGTGTTTGTTCCCGTATGGCTGCTGGCCTGTGTATTCTGCTTCGTGGTAATTTACTGCACCTTTTGGAGTATTTTGATGCTACGCCAGATGTCTAATAACAGACATGTGATGTCATCGGTACAGAGGAGCTACTACATCCGCATTATTACCACCGGACTTGTCCTTTTATGCCCACTTATCACTTTCCTTGTGAGTCATTTGGTTTCTTACTGGTGTTTTATTTTTTACCGAAAAATTTAGTAGTAAGTTAGTTATCGTTGGTTCGACGCTTTAAGTGTTATCCCCGCGCAAAGCTACCAAAAATAAAGGTCAGACGGGGTTGTTGTTGCAGCCTCGTTGACTCTTTATTTCGGTTTATAGTGTTTCCGTCTCGTACCTTGTTAAGTGGTGTTGGCGCCCTTTCGCAGGATAGGTAGGGCCTGCTACTATCGTGGTATACTTGAATAGTGGTCAGACGGAGTATGTGCGTGCGTGCTTGCGTGTGTGTGAGCGGTCACAGATTGGGGGCTTGGTAGCCGTAGCACGTATTAAGTCGGCAACTAGATCGTGTTCTGTTTGAATTATCGTCTCCGGTGGTTGGCAACCAAATACCTCATTTCTTTCTTTATCCCAATTGGGGCATTCGGTGAGCCCATGTTTTGTGTCTTGTTTCGTTCTAACAGTGTGGACATGAGCCTTCCTCACTTTTCTCTTGTTTATGTAGTGTGTCCCGCAGAAAAGGAATTCTGTTTAGCCTCATGCGATCGATGTTTATCTGGAACCTTGCTTAACTAGCTCAGATATCTCCTTTCTCCCTTCTGTCGGCTACCATTTTCCTTATGTTCCCTTATACACTCTATCTTGGAGTCTCTTCAATGCTGTTGATCTCCAATATGACCTCCATTTCAGCCTGTCCGTTGATTCTTTTCCCATAGTGTTTAGTGGATGTGTGTCTTTGAAGATGTAACATTTTGCTAGGAGTTTTGCCGCCTTATCTACCCTCTTCGAATAGTGTATTTAGTTCAGCTTCGTTACTGGTTTGTATTGACGGGGAGCCTGCTGGGTCCCCGACGATGCATCTGGCTGCTGCGTTATTGCACATCTCAACTTTCTCTCGGTTTGTGAACGATAAAAAAACATTCCCCGTGTTTCGAAGGCGTAAGCACCATCGGGCCTGGTGTAGCTTTTGTACAGTTGTCGTAAATCTTTGGCTTTCAGTCCTTAGTTTTTCCCGCTGAGAGAGCGCACTGTTTGATGTAGTACTGGCTGATGTGTTAAATCCAAGTTGGCTGTCGACTCCATGTATCAATGTCGATTTTTTGTATGTAATCTCTTCCCCACCTAGTTTTACCTAGTACATTTACAGTCGGTTTCTTTTGGGTCAACGGTTACAAGTAGTTCGCCTTAACCCAAACTTCTATTGAGCTTAATGCAGGCCGGATCAGGTTTGGCGCTTTTTAACAAAATTGAAATTTATTAGCACAGTAAAAACTCAAAAACCAAAGTCAAAAATCAGAACTGCAATATAACAATTTTAATTATTCGTCAAATTGATTTTTTGAATATTAGGTTCTGCTAGTTCATAAACTGGAAAGTGTTTGGAATCTCATGGAGTATCAGGAGCGCCAGGTTATCATAGACAGCCAGCTGACTCCTGATTCTGAGATGGGATCACAGTTTGAGCAGAGCATGGGTCCTTTGAATCCAGACAAGCCAGTTGTGCCTGTCATTTGGACCAGAGAAGTCGGGGACATGGATTCTCTGCCATGGGTTGTTACTATGTCGCCGCTTTACATCACGCTTTTGGGTCTGATCGCATCAACAATTGGGACAAAAGGCGGCAATAGATGTAAGTTTTATGTTGTCGGATTGCATATTTCAGTTTTTTTTTGCTGTGATGTGTTCTTAAACAAGTTACTCTATGTGCATTTTTAGTTATCTATCGACATCTAAGTAAATCTCTTCTGGATATCAGTTTCAATTTCTTTGATTAAACGCCAAAATGCCCTCTTAGGACCCTTTTTCTAACCGGATGGCGTATTGACAGATATGTTTTCTACAATAAAGTTCTTTTGAATCTAGTTTTGCGTTTACAGGGTTCTTTGGACTGCATACAGACTTCTTTTCCCTCCTGGTGAATTTATGCCCCTGTCTGAAAGAGTATGCAAACATATCTTTCAAGCAAACGAACGAACAACCGGATAACGACTCACGTGGACCAATCAGCGATGATAACCAAAACGCGACAGCAGGCAGACAGGCGGAAAGTAGCTCCAGAAGCACTTCAAGTAGATCGCATGTCAGTGCTCCTACTTAGCTTCTGCAATATGTAGCTCATACTTACGTTGTCTAAACAACCTTATTCTCACCCTTGCGGTTAAGCAAGGGTGTTGCATGCAGGTACTAGACTTTCCCCTTTAATAACTTGATTTGTAGAAAGGTCAATTTCTTGACAAATTTTGTTTAACTACTATCATTGTCCATTTAGGTAGAGATATGTGGAGTTCGTTTCATGCAGTAATTATTTTTCAAAATAAATTTCCTGAAAAATGGATTAAATTTTTTCCATATTTGGTGTTTTACTAGTTTCTGTCTGATCATTTTCCGTTTTAAAAAGGCCATTTATTTTGTCTCGTACGGTTTTTATTAGCTCAAGTTCAAACAATTTGTGCTATAAATTAAAGTTCTGTTATTTGCGAATATGCGTAGTCTGATTTTGAATTTTTATTTTTTTTTCGAATGAACGGTTTCTGCTCATGGTTTGTCTCAAGTTTGGCTGCCTTAGTTGCGCTCGGTAAATAGTTCTCAATGCTTTTTAAAGCTTTTTTTCAGCTAAATTTTTCAGAAAAATTTCGACTTCGTCTCTTTTTTGTTCAATTGATTTTTTAATTGATTCAGGAGCAGAATCAAACATAATAAACATTCCCACATGGAATGAGATAAAAACATTACACCCAAAACTAACGCCTCTTGAAACCTCCAGTAAACTAGCAACAGCACAAGGATCAACATTGGTAAACTATGGAAAAATTCAATTTTTTCTTCTCCCCACAAGAACAATAGAGCAGAATAAAATTTTAAATAAACCATTTAAACAAATATTTCATATCACTGATATTAAACACAATATCATTGGAATACCATTTATCTCTAAATATATACCAACAATCAACATCTTGAATAGTAAAATACTAATAAAAGATAAATACACAAAAACAAAAGACACATCCCTAACTTTTTTTCAAAGATTAAATAAACAACCACCATTCTTTTCAAAATTTTATCAAATATATAATCAACAAAGAAAACACCTGAAACCACTATCAGGAAACATATATAATTTTTCAATAAAACAAGTTCACCAATATGATAAAAAACAAAATAAACAACAACTCTATATGTCAGATTTTGAATTCAAACCTATCCCTAAGTTTTTCAAAATCACAATCTCATCCATAAAATATTTGAAAAACTCGAATTCAGATATTATTTCCCTACATGTATACAACAATACACCCTATCAAGTAACATTACCTTTAGGACTTTTAGGCTATTGCGAAACCAACGCTACGATATCACCAGTACACGAAAAAGCATACCGCGTAAATAATATACTCCAATTATTAGATATTTGTCAATCCACAATTCTTAATGAAGAATTATCCATAAATAATATAAGAAGTAATGAAAAAAGAAATACAGATTATTTCACAAAAGCCCCATATTTCAAACCTACATTCAACATAAACAACTATACAGAGAATCAACAGAAATTTTTAACAATGTTTAACTTCCAACATTCACAAATAACACAAGACGAATTTGATAAATTAGCCAAACAGCTAATAAAATATTCATCAGTCTATGCAACATCCAAATTTGATGTTGGCAAAATCAGCTCATCACTACATCTCCCATTAAAACCTGACGCAGTTTTCAAAAAACAAAGAGCAAGTAAAGTACCAATTCACTTACACGATAAAGTAAACAGATTACTCGATATTTTAGAACAATACAAAATTATCTCACCGGTAAACAAAGAAGAACAACCAAAAGGTAACACATTTATCAACCCTGTTATCATCCTAGCAAAAGGAGAATCATTAAAAATAGTTCTAGACGCTAGATACCTTAATTCACTAATAGACGAATCAAAATGCAATTGGCCTATTGAACCAATACAAGTTATTTACAACAAATACAACAAAAATAAACGGAAAATACTTTACAACCGCAGATATGAATAGTGCATATAATCAAATGCCACTAGATGAACAATCGCGACGCTTAACACAATTTGTTATTGGAAATCAGCAATATGAATTCAACCGCCTATTCTATGGAATATCCATTGGACCAGCAGCATTTTCAGCTTTTATGAGCAAAATTTTTAGACCACTAATACTCAAGAAAAACGCAATCACCTATTTAGACGATGTTTTTATGCAATCACAGACAAAAGAAGAAATGTTCAATGTTTTAGAACACTATCACAAAATTTCCGAACGAAAATCTGAAGGCCGCCCCCGATAAATCACACTTCTTTTTAACAAGAGTTAAATTCTTAGGACATAATATAGAAAGAAAAACAATCACTCCTTTAAAATCACGCATTGATGCTATTCAGAAGCTCCAACCACCAACAAACAAAAAGAAAATCCAAGAATTCCTTGGAATGTTAAACTTTTTAAGCAAATATGTCTATAAAATGCAATTATACCTAAGACCATTCTATAATATACTTAGACAACAAAATAATTTTGAATGGAACACAGAACATCAAGCACGATTTGAAGAAATTAAAAAACTCTTAACTGAACAAATTTCGAATACAATTCCAGATCCAAATCAACCATTCTATGCAATGTGCGATGCTTCGAATTTTGGCATCGGCGCAGCATTATTACAATCACACAATGGTACAAACAAAATGAACCTTATATCAGCAAATTCTCGACTATTCACTCAAGCAGAACTACGACTCTCAACTCTAATGAGAGAATGTACAGCCATAATATATACACTAACAGAATATGAATTTCTGATACTTGGATCAAAACATCCAACAGTTCTATTTACAGATCACAAACCAATCATCTTTCTCTTTACACAAAAATCCAATCCAAATCACCGAGTTTATAGATTTCAATTAATTCTAATGAAATTCCCAAACTTACATATAGTTTGGACAGCAGGAAAGAATCTTGCATTACCAGACACTTTAAGTCGAAATACACCACCTGAATTACTTACACGTAAAACTACAGTTGAAATACCCAAAAATATAAAATTCTACCTTGCAGAAAACGAAACATCACCCCGACTAGAATGCAAATATGCAGTAAAAACTGACGTTGAACAATCACAGATAAACAATCTACAACACTTCCCACTTTATTTAGATTGCCAAAATAACCACTACGAAGTTGATCTACTTGGAACATCAACTTTTAAACCAATTCCATATTCACAATGGATAAAAAATAATACCCAACAAAAAAGAGTAAAACAACACCCGCATAAAAAAGACCTTTTTCCATTAATTGAAAAAGAAAATCTAACTGATAAAATAAATTTATCAGGACCACAAACAAACGATTCAAAATACACGATAAATCAAGTTTTTGACCTCCATGACCCACTTGATACAATTCCTTTATCTAAATTAGAAATTGAAAACATTTTTCTCCCCCCAACAGATAAAATTACAATTAATATTTTGAAACAATATCAAAATCTTGACCCAGTAATTAGACAACTAAAATCATGGCACAAATATAAAACTAAACCCGTCAAGGCAGATACAACTATTTTAGGAAATAAAACACTCCTCCGATATTTTCGAAAATTTAATAATACAACAATTAACGAAAACACAGACCTTCTAGAATGCCAATTAAATGAATCTACAGTTCCCTGTCTCCCTCTAAGTATGATTCTTATAGCTTTTAATATTTCACATACACAAAACATTAAAGGACATTCTGGATCAGAGAAAACATATTCAAATTTCATACAAAACTTTTATTTTCCAAATGCACCAATTTGGATAAAAGTACTATGCAATGATTGTATAGTATGTCAGCTAAATAAACCTTATCCAAATCAAAAACAAATAGCACAAAAACAAGATTTTAAAGGACAAAGTTTGTACTTTAACCACCGTATTTCATTTGATACAAAAGGACCAATTTCACCCTCATCCGAAGGAAACTCCTACATTATGGTAATTGTTGACGCGTTTACACATTATGTAGCACTTAACCCAGTACCACATTTTAACGCTTATTACGCTTACACAACACTTTATGAACACTGGATAGCCAAATTCGGACTACCAGAAATTTTAGTTACAGACAACGGTACAGAATTCATAAATAATGAAATCATCTTACTATGTCATTTATATAACATCAAACACAAACCACGTACATCTCACGCACCTTGGACAAACGGCTTAGTCGAAGGTATGAACCGTTCACTACAAGAATATCTTAGATGTATCATCAATGGAAATGATACAAGATACACCGAATGGTCAGCAGATGTAAAACTATTTCCCTTAGCATATAATTCACAAATCACGACAACTCTAGGAATGTCACCATATGAAATGGTTTTTAATCAAAAGCCACGCAAACCAATTATGTTTACAGCAAACTCTCATAAAAATGCACAAAGTTATTGCCAACCGAATAAAGACTCAATTTGTTATAACCTACCTTTACACACACACGATGAAAATCATTTTCATCACCCACAAATTCTTAAATTAGCCTCCGGTACACATACCGAATGGATTTTGAACAGAGATAAAAAACACAATGAAATTTACCAAAAAGTAACAAAAAAGTTGTTACAAAGGCAAAACATTAATGAACAAATAAATTCACGCTTTACACCAGCCTCCGATTTAAAAATTGGAACATTTGTTTTAATACCCAATTTTAACACTCAAAAAGGAATCTCTAAAAAATTACAACCCCTTCGTAAAAGACCATACCAAATAATTGCCAAACCCACTGATGTCACATATAAAATCACCGACTCAGACCAAAAAGAAAGTGTTCAACATCGAAACAACCTATTACCTTATTACCCAAAAGAATACGCACTACGCGAACTAACTCAATTATATTCTTTCACAGGTTTAAAAACTATTCAAAATAACCCACATACGGAGAATAAAACAAAGGAACAACATGACATTCATCTCGAAAACCAAAATAAAAAATCAACTATAACGAAAAACAATACAAAAAAGCTAGATCAAAATATACCTCAAAAAGAAAGAAAAAA